AAAATTTGTGAGTCTAGAATGGAGAATTTTTTCAAAAATCTAGTTAAGAAATGGTAAGGTTGATATTAGACGATAATTAAAGACATTGGTCACCGGATTTAAAAACACGTTTCAGTGCATCGGGATACACAGCACCGGACATGCATAGGTTAAAAATATGAGCCAAAACTGGTGCTACAATGTCAGCTACAAGATGCAACATTCTTGGCTGAACTTCATCGATCTGGAGTGGCTTGCCCTTGCACAATCATAAAAATTCTTAATTTCAAGTTCAGAAGTGGAGAAAAGCAAGCAGGATGCCTCACAGAAAGGAATTTTATGCGTCACATTGTTTAAAGGACCTAAGTTTTTTGTGAGGTCATTGGAAGCAGAGATAAAATAATTGTTAAATTCAATTGCTGCCTCGCTACCAAAAATTAGCTTGTTATTTTTCAACAATTCCATTCCTTTGTTAGCAACATTTTTTGCAAGTAATATGTTGACAATTTTCCATAGACCTCTCGACCTCTCATTTGACCTCTGCATGATTTTGGCGGAGTAGAATTGTTTGTTAACTATCTTGATTAGTGCATTTAGGACATTCCGGTAAATGGTGAGCGATCGGCGAAGATAATACCAGAGCGGGAGAGCTTTAGAAGTTTATGCGTCTTCTTAATGGCAGGTTTAATTTCGGTAGACACCCAAGGAGGCCTATGTTTTCTTACCGACACAAGCTTTATGAGAAAGGATTCATCATAAATTTTTGAATATCTGACATAAAAGAGTTCATTGCTAAGTCAGGCTCGGTAATATTTGATAGAAATGCCGATGGGAAAAGTCTCATATTCTTCTTGAACTTTATAATATTGACATCATTCATCAAGCGAATTTTTTCAGAGGCGAAACCCCCCTTTTTTAAAGAAAAGGCCTTGTACATAACTTGACCTCAATATTTACTCGTACAATCCTCAAACCCGCATAATTACATCTGCTATTCTCTACTAGGGTGAAAAATTAAAAATTTAACGGAGCCAGGTGATTTGACCTCGAAATACTCTTACATTGAAGCTCACGATATAGTTGATTAAATGCCAGAATCTATAAAATGAGGAGAAAAATAAGCAAGGACACTGAACTTTTTGAAGGGCATAAAATCAGAGCCGGAACAAACTACTAATCCTTTCCCTAGGATATACCAAAAATCAGTACAACATCAAGCTTTCTATAAACGAAATTGAATTGCTCTCGAAAGGATTGTAGTTCATTCCAACAACCAATAAACAAAAAGCTTGAAATTTGATCAAAGCACTGAATAAGTTACGTAGAACTATGAACTTGAAGTGGTTCTTCCGCAATAAAACAAAGAAAATAACTTCATTTAACACAAAATCAGTATGGAATCACACTGAAAAATAAAATATCTCATTATAAAACTTTTACAAAAAAACTAGATATGAAATCCTGGGAATGTCAAGGAAGAAAGTGAATAATAATCTCTCCCATTTAGAGAGAGAAGCCCTTCAAACACAGCAATCCCGAAAAGACATAATGATAAAACCAGCGGATAAATGACGTGCTATTGAAATACTAAATTGAGAAGACTATGTAAAAACTATACACAAAAATACAGAAGTGGAGGAGAATCCCATTAATGATATATACGGAAAAGTTCAACTCAAGTGTCTGGAATTAAAAAAATCAGGAAAGGTAAATGAAAAAACCCACCATTTCTTGAAACAAAATAAGGAAGAAATAAAAAACGCCCACAATATATATGCTACCAAAAATACACAAGATAATACCTCCCGGACAGCCATTCATCGGCAGACCTATTAACGTCAGCATATGGAGGCCCATGCGTAAAACTAAGTGCATTTGTGGACTACTTTTCATTACTAATTGTAAAGAAACAGCAAACAAACCTAAAGGACAGTCAAGAACTTCTGTGTTGGGAACAATCAATTTGAGCCCGAACGTATTACTGATATCACTGGGCGTTGTATCTATAAATACAAACATATCACTAAATGAGGCGATAATAACAAACGTGGAAGCTTACCACGCGAGTACTTTCCCGTACAAAATAAATATGATTAACACGATGGTTTTTAGGGATATCCTTAAGCTTGTTCTAGAGAACAACTTTCTTGAATTCAATGGAAACTATTACAAAGAAAAGATTGGTGTGGCTTAGAGTTCTAAATGCTCACTGGAAGTTGCTGACATATTCATGCACTCTATAGAGACCAGATTTCTCGAGAGAATATCAAGACTAGTTCTGTACAGAAGATACAGAGATGATAAATTGGGCATAAGTGAAGCAAGTAAACTTCAAATTCCCTCATTCAACGAGGACTTAAATTTACTCCACGAGTCTATCAAATTCACTCCTGAAATGAGCGACCACGAGCTAAATTTTTTGGATCTCACGATATATAAGGGAGAAAACTTTAAGAAGAACGGCATGCTTGACACAAAAACCTTTTTCAAACCGACCGAAACATTTCAGTACATAAATGCATCTAGCGCCTACCTTAACTTCTGTTTGAGAGGTTTTATAAAAGGCGAAATCTTAAGACATAAGAGAAACTGTAATAACGTTTCAGACTTCATAAAAATTGTGCTACCTTTTTACAAACATTTAAAGTAAAGGGGATATAGCAAATAACTGTTCATGGAGCAACGTAAAGAATTTCAAAAGAGGAATACAATTGAAAATAAACCCTTGAAGCGTACACTTTTCTTTAAACCAAAAACAACCCTAGCACATCAGACCATGAACTGAGGAAGGTTTTAAAAAAGCACGAGTATTTGTAAATTAAGATACCGACCCTCAAACCTATCTTCCCCTCACCACCAACCATTTCATTCGAAAGAAATAAAACCCTGAAAGAATTCCTAGTCAAGTCGAGGCTGGAAAACACAAACTCAGAAAACGAAGACCTGAATATACTAACAGGTTTCCGGTAAGTAAACAAATTCCAAGAGCCTGATGAGGAAAACGAAATTGTGTTGTCAATAAACCAACTTAAAAGAGCTTTTGTGTTAAATTGAAATAACGCAATCGCTCTTAAACAATTATTAGGAATTATAATAATGATACATAAAAAAAACAAATATTTAATCTAACCAAAAAAAGAGCTCTAAATATGAAAATATCAGAAATAGATATTTTAATACAACCAAAGAGGAAACATTCAAACTTGGTCACCTCTTAAAATATATGTGAAAACCTTGCTTTCCGCTCTGGAATCTTTATTCTCGCATATCGTGAGATCCAAGAGATTTAGCTCACTAATAAATATTCTGGATTTTAAACACAAAAACAAAGAAGGATTTTCTTCGGGTATACTGATCAAAAAATACAAAGAAAGTTTCGGATGGATGGCCACTCGTTTCGTGGGCTGAACCTTCTTCTACATACGTCCAATTATTTCAAGGAAGCCAGATTAGGATATCTCTCAAAAACTTAAAAAAAAACATTTCAACCATGGCCAATTAATTTGAATAAAAATTAAATTTTCCTGATAATAATCATACCATCTAGTTTATCAAATTTTGACAGGGTTTTTCCTAGTCCAAGCTCGTAAAACTAACAATGAAGTACATTTTTCAAAGCTGTTTACTATACGAGTTTAGCGTCATTTATCTCTGACATGATTAAGTGTCTTCTTCCCAACGCAGCTGTGGAACATCATGCCGATGGACACGGGTTGATGGTCTTGGTGGCGTCGACGCACATGTAGAAAAGTGCAGTGTTACACGGCGATGTCAATAGTTTTCCGGACTGCAAGATGATCACGCAAGAGGAGGTGTCAGCGGGAATACTATCCCACATGTCAGCGACCACGGGAGTCCTGCTGGGCATGTGGACCCAAGCGCCGTCGATGTATCGCACGTTCACCCAGAAACCCGGTGCCTCTGAAAAATATAACCCGGAATTAAAATTCGAATTTGAAATTTATAGAATCTTGTCATAAAACTAGATCCGAAAATGTGCTCTTGCGCCTGAACGTCTGTTGATTTTAGTTTTTTGGTGGAATCGGACATAGAATTTGTGGGATCAAAAGAACTTCTCGTTAAGAATGTCGGCCTCATTTATACACGCTGAGGTTTACCAACAAATTTTCGCCCCTTGACTGACATTATAGTTCATCCTGTAATACCAAAATATCAATGATAAAGAGAAAGCTCGTAAAATATTTGGGCTTTCTTGGCAATAAAATTCTCAAGTAAATCATGATTCATTCACGATTTCCAATTCAATTCATTGGATCAAATCCAAAATGTACACAATAGTCGTTATAAAAAGTACCACAATAACAAAGTAAACAATAAACATTTTAGTTCATACATCTTGGAGGCGTACATGAGATTTGCAAAGTATATGTCTGCATTGCCTCCTCAGAACTGGAAAAGATAGCCAAATACTACTGCTTTCTCACCAGGTTTCGTGGCGACGGCTGTCATCACGGCATTCAGGTTCTCCTCCGTGTCTACTTGGGCCAGCTCGAGTCCAAGCAACGCACATGTGGTCGCTGCCGCACAGAAGCTCGCTGACGCAGATCCATCTGCTACGATGAGGATGTGAGGGATTGCTTCTGTTCCAATGCAAGATACTGCATCACTCAGAGGGTCTATTACTTCAGTATCATCTAGAAAATATGGTAAATTACCTGTATTTAGTAAGTTGAACAGTTAATGTGTAGGAACAACGAATACATGAAAACTGCAGGGCTGATCATTGATCAGAATTTACGTACATAGATTCCACTTAATTATCTCAAATAATTTTTAATTTTAAAAATGCCTTATTTAAGCAAAATATTAGGTCCATAAATGTTATTTTCGGCGTCTCACTTCTGTAAAAACTATTGAAAACAAAGTTAGAAGCACCTTTGCGTTCAATTTGGCGTCGTGAAAAACTCTAATTAAATTATTGCGGGCCTATGGAAAGTCCACAAGAAATCGTAATGCTGTTATTACAATAGATTCACAGTCCTACTGCATGGTCCGAGTTTTTATTCCGTGAATCAGGAATGTAATATAACTCGCCAGTTCTTTGTTTATTGTAAACTGCTATAGCGAACTGCAAAAATATTATTCATTATGAAAATTTAACAATAAATATGTTTTATCTTGTATTGCCGGTCTTTTATTCACCTTGAAGAGTTACCGTCTTTCCAACACACGTCGAGTAGCACATTCCATCGTTCGTTATGTTTTGGCCATCCAAGAACCCGCCAAGAGGAGTGAGGCACCCACTATTACCTGAGGAGAAATAATTACTGTGAATTATTGATATATTATTGAAATTATATATAAATTATTGGGGCGACTGACACTTAAAGAGAAGGGACGAAGCCCTCGTGGAGGTGGCGAGGAGGAACAATGCAGCTAATTGCGTAAACTTAGTTAGAATGGGAAGGAGGAGAAAGAGGCAGAATGCATTAAATTGTGGCTATCAAACATCTCATTCACTCGTGTTATTAGCAATAATTCAGTTTTAAATGCAGTATTCATTGTGAATAAATTATGGGAAATATATCCATTTGGCCGTCTAAAAACATTTGAAACTTCAATGTCGCCTTACAAGCAATAGCAGCGCTCAAACCCAGATTTAATACATCAAATAAGTACAGAAAAATGTATTAAAAGTAACAATAAATTCTCCTAAGCCCGATGAGAATAAAAATCCAGAACGCATTTATATTTTAGAGAAAAAGGCACATTGTGAAATAATTTCGCTGGAATACTATTTTATAAATTAAAAAAGATCATGCAGAATTCCTCAGGATTGTCAAGACTTTGAAATCAATAGCCTAGCTTAAGATTTGCATGACAACGATTTGTTTATACTAAATTTCTCGGCCCTCGTTAGATCTTTCAGAATTTGTTTCGTCCAGCATTCTACAATTTCTATTCAGGTATTCAGTCGTTCCAGTGAAATATTCCTTTAAATGGTTAGCAATAGTCATCAGACTAATTACTTAGATTGTAACTTTAGTTAGGGAAATGTTCAACACGGTTTCGTATACAAAATATATCAAAATCTATTAAAAGCGCCCAAAATACATTATAATTATATTTTAACATAAGCATTTGAGATTATATGAATATTGCCAGCACTGTTACTCACCATCATATCCGACATAGACCGTCTCACCATCGCATGCATCATTCCATGAATTATAGAAACAATTCATGGCGATCATGCAGGACCCTCCATTGAACTTGAACATCAGTTTGGCTGTTTATACAGAGCATGGTTAACGCTACGTAAAATAAATGGCACGAAGCTATAACATAGTGAATAATTTAACTTTTATTTAGCAATTGTTTACAATGCATTTTAAGCAATAATTGTTATTAACCAAAGATTTTACCAGGATTTATATTTTCTTATTGTTCGATTTAATTAATCCTGGATTGAAATTAAACAAAAAGAAAATTACCTATTTTTTATATTACCTACTTCAAATTTTTATTGGAATCACATCCACTAAAACCAATAATATTCTTCTCTCTCATTTAAAATAATACAATTTACTATGACAGACATGGAATTCCATATTGTCAAGTGATATATTGAATTACCAGCGTCCACGGTGGCCTGGGCACAAGCGAAGAGAGTCGTGGCAGCGTCAGCGACCTGCCATGTGATGTTCTGAGCACTTGAGCTTATGACCTGCTGGAAGAAATGTTGCTCTATGGCTACCATCCATAGATTTCCCGTCAGCGAAGCTGCTTGCTTGATGCACGTCGAGAACAGGCTGCTTCTCAGAGAAGTTTCGAACCGGAACTGATGTCAAACAAAAAATCCGTTTATAAATTAAAGGAAAAAAACGATTAGTATGCGATTAAAATATTCAATATTAATTGGTTAACCATTCGAGTTATGTGTAACGCACGTAAAATTGCGAGAAAATTTTTTTAGTTGATGGTTTGATTACATTGCCTTCAACTTTATACTATATATGCAGAGAACGAACAAAAATGTAAAGAAGTAAATGTGTCTTCTAATAAATAAACTACGTCTGCAGTAGAACCATATGAGTAAATAATTAAAAAGATGGCCGGTCTGATGCGCGCCGAAATTGAGCGAGGTTGCCATATATTCTTATATTCGTTGTTCTTGACTACGGATAAAACTCGTTCGAAAGTAGATTACCGAGATTTGTGTTTTTTAGAATGTCCGGTAGTGTAGTTCATTTAATTTCGGGTCCGGTTTTTAAGCACAAACTAATTGTAATGTACATAACCGGACTCGATTTTGTCCGGATTTCTAACCCATGGCCGGTAATGTTACCAATCCTGTCCGGCCATTGTTCGAAACTCGTTTATATATTTATATAAACGAGTTTCGAACAATAGCCGGACAGGATTGGTAACATTACCGGACATGAGTTAGAAATCCGGACAAAATCGAGTCCGGTTATGCACCTTACAATTAGTTTGTACTTAAAAACCGGACAAGAAAATAAATGAACTACACTACCGGACATTCTAAAGAACGCCAACCTCGTAAGGTTAGGGTTAGAGTTATGGTTAGGTGTGTATAAAACCCTTGGTGCAGACAAATATTTCTATTCAACTAGAATTATTCATTAACATGTAGGCTGTTAGAACAACTTAATGAAACTGAATTTTAGAGGTGAATCAAAATTTTATAGAAAACGCTAATGACACATCAATAGTTAAATAAAATTGATCCAAAACATGTCCCAAAAATAATCATAGAATACTGCACAAATATTCATGGACATAACAGTCTCTATTTCGTACCTTTGCAGTGGCAGACGAGGCTGCCACCAGCAGCGTAAAGGCCCGTTTACACTAGGGGCAACGACATGGGCGGTTAGGCGCTGGCTGCAACCGCCCACAACCGTTCACACTACTTTTGTACACGGTAGCTCGAGACCGCGCGCTTTGAAGGTTATATGCCAGTTAATAAGACGTCAGTGAAGATGGATATAACCGAATTTCAGCTCTGGGCCATTGTTCTCGGGTGTGCTGCTGTAAAGATTTACACAACACGATTTACACAATTAAATTTTCAAAGAATTATCAGTGCGAATGCATCATACTTTCAAAATTATAGGTGATAGACTGCCTGTGGACTTGTTTGACAGTCTGCTAAAGAAAATAATGTCACTCATCCAGAAGCAGGATGATGGAATTGAGATGGAATTCACGTGCACTAGAATTCATTTGCAATGAAATTCATTTCACGATGAAATTGCGAACGCAACGTATGAATTTTCTTGTGAACCTCGTCAATAATACTGACTTGTACACAAACGTTTTTTAAAAGTTCAACTATTTTCAGCAGAGCTTGTTTTTCTGCATTTCGACTTCTATACTCCTTTGACTGAACTCTACAGGCATTCATACTCTTGTTTCAGATAGCATAGTTCTGTTCCAAAATGTATCGTCCTTCGACCAGTGGCCGTTCGACAGAGGGCTGGTTCGACCCACGGCCTAGATACGGACGGCTTGAAGTGTTGAAGGCTACGTTCCGGAAAGCAGGAATCATGATGGTCCATTACATCCAGGGCAGTGGTGGTCTTCGGCAGGCGACCCTACTGCGACACTTACACGTGTACTAAACTTCAAATTACTTTCATACGTGTTTACTGTGATACACACACGTTTACTAAACTTCAAATTCATTTCATACGTGTTTACTGTGATACATACACGTGTACTAAACTTCAAATTACTTTCATACGTGTTTACTGTGATACATACACGTGTACTATACTTCAAATCGGCCTCAAATGTGTCGCGGCTGATGCAACCCAATAAATGTAGCGTATTTTCGTGAAACGTGTGGGTTTTTAACATGGTTCTTATTTAATTTTTTGAACCAAGAAGTGAAAAACTCTGGTTTCGTAAATTTTATTTTACTCCAGAAAATCGCGCATTCCTTAATCGAAAATTTAAAAAGTAGTCTAAGAAATCTGGATTTCTTCTACTTGTACTTCTTTTTATTTTTTGACTATTACGTCATTATTCTTCAACTGGAAACATTACGAATTATTTTAGACACCTGAAATACTATAAATGATAAAAACGTTAGCTCAAGTACTGTATTTTTGTGTAGTTGTGCAGAGCCAAGCGCTGCAGTTATTCAGCCTTATGCCACAATGCATTTGAATAAGCGGTTAGATCATTCAAGAATTGAACAAAATATTAATAATAAACCATATATTGTCCATTAAATGAGCAGAAGATTCAAAACAATGGACGGGAAAATTTTCATGGCAAAAGCATCGCCGTATTATTCTTGTGTTTTGTGGTTAATTTCACAATCCGAAATCCCGATCTCAATCCTCCTCTGATGCTTGTGTACAGACGTCGTCATCGTGTCTATTCTATCCAAACAGAATACAGGAGCCTTTGCAGAGTAAACTTTGACGTAATACATCGGTGATCCAGAGCACGTAACATCTAAACTTTCCCACATACACGTAGCGTCTTAACTACAAGTAGCGGCTGAATTATCGTCTATGACTGGCGGGTTTAGCTTGAAAAGCCGTCATTGATTGGCTGACAGAGTTAAGAACATTTAGTTTAGATATTACGGCCCTAGATTATCATGTGCATTGGCCTAAGTATAGACTCTACAGCCCACATCAGTTATTCGTATTAGGGCCAAAGTAGACACACCTGAGGAGCGAGTCCGAGAAGGCTTTACATTTCAGCTACACGCTCTAGTAGCATGCACATTTACATGTAATATTCTTTTACGACCCTATATAGTTGATACAAATTTGGATGGACCTGTTAAAATTAAATCATCTCTCAACAATCAATGGATTGAAATGTCACTCAATATCAACTCGAACTAATTGAATGAATAAGAAACACACAAGCGCTTTTGCATCTGATATTTTTAATTTTATCGTACATCTGGATATATAACAGAATTCCAGTAGCTCAACCCGTCCCTGACAGAGATAAATAATCTATTAAATTTGAAAATCCCTAAAATCCAAATATGAGCAGTCTGCATCTCATTATCCCGAATCTTGTTTCTACTTTAACAAACTAATGTAATGTGAGTGGTGTTAAACTCGTTCCAGCTGCCAACGTAGAATTCTCAAGTAACTTACGCTTCGAAATTTTAATTTTTCATCTCCTAGTAAGAATCAAATCAACATAAATGAATTTTGGTGCATATTAAATAAAATTTGTAAAATTAGTTTATTGTCTCATGAATCCATCTATAAAAATCTAATTTTGTGTCCAGGTTATAAGATCGGCACCGGAGTGACGCGATACGCACGCACCCAAACAAAATTTTTCACAAAAATATGCTGCATTATTTATTAATGACAAGACAAATTTTGTATTGGGATTGATAATCAGTGTGTTTAAGGCCTCATTTCGCTGCGCTCTAACGGCCCAAATGATATATTATCGAAATCATCGATTTCGATCTGAGGCATTCGCCTCCAGTAAATTAGTATTTTCTGTTTCCGGGGGCAAGGGAAAATTCAAGTAAGAAAGTAATAATTCATGTAAGAAATTAATAAAATTATAATTAGGAAGGCAATGGAAAATTCAAATAAGAATGTAATAATTTTTGCCACGAAAAATTAGTCCACGAAAAAGTGATCAACTTCGCTAGAACCAAGCCGCCACATGTCGGCGGGCTGACTCATGGTTTGCAGTTTGATGGCAAGTGTTAGTACACTTGTAAAATTGGGTGCTGGCTATAAATATGTATTTTTTTCGTGTGTTGACACGAACTTTCTCTTTTGGCTTGAAAAGGTATTGCCCCTCCTTCCCCCTCCCCTCTCCACCCACAGGTAGCGGGGTCAATGGACTTCTTCAGTTTGAAGTGAAAGTTCCCATTGGGAATTTCGTCCGCTTTCTGCTTCAATGAGGTCAGACTGACTCATGCACCCCATGATTCATAGTCTAGTCAAAATAAAAATGAATATTATTTAACTATTAATCAATTAACAATATTTATAGGTAACCATTCAATGTAGAATGGCAAATATTTCACAACATGGTGGATCGTTCTACCTAAAATTGATTTTACCAATTATTAAAGCAAAATATTACTTTTCGTAGCAGTACACACGTAGCAAATCACCATTGCTCATGAGAACGGGATATAATGATTGAATTTTAACGCTCACTTTGAAAAAGTGTCTCGTGAACGCTGCGTTGCGCGATACCAAGCGTAGCACCGTGTTGCCCAGCTAGCGCGCTATATAAGCCTGCTTACCGATCAGCGTAAAAATCTAGCTACAGGTACACAAGGTAATTAAAGTAAACAATTACAATAAATACATATTAACATAACATCTACTTAAATAGTAGCTACAACAGAATAGTAGATAATATACGATGGTGTCTATGTAAACCAGCTAATGTGGTAATTATATAATTTAAAAAAGTGGAATTCAATGAATTTGAAACTATCATTTGGGCCACGCGAGCGCAGCGAAACGAGGCTTGAAAAACACTGGTAAGCAATCCCAATATAATATTTGTTTTGTCATGAATAAATAATGTAAAATATTTTTGTGAGATATTTTGTTTGGGGGTGTGCGTATTGCGTCACTTCCGTGCCGATCTTATAACCTGGACCCGAAATTAGATTTTTAGAGATGAAATCATGATAAAATAAACAAATTTGACAAAGTTCTTTGTTTTAATTTGCACTAAAATTCATTTTTTTTACTTGATTCTTACTAAAAGATGAAAAAATAAATTTTCGACGCTCAAATTTCATGAGAATTCTACGCTATAGGCAGCTGGAATGAGTTTAACGCTCAATCACATTACATTGGTTTGATAAGTAGAAACAAGATTCGGGATAATGAGATGCAGACTGCTAGAATCTTGAATTATTCATCAAGATATACAATAAAATTAAAAATATCTGATGCCAAAGCATTTGGGTGTTTCTTATTGATTCAATAAGTTCCAGTTGAGATTGAATCGATTGACAGTTGAGAGAGGATGTAAGTTTAACAGATGCATCCAAGTTTGTATCAAATGTATTGGGTTGTAAGAGAATATGTAACATGTAAATGTACATGCTATTAAAGCGTATAGCTGAAAAGCATGTAACCGAAATTTAAAGCATTCTCAAATGTGTCTACTTTGGCCCTAAGATACGGGTAACTGATATTTACGAACTGTGAAGTCTACTGTGAGGCCAATGCACATGATGATCTGGGGCCATACTATCAAAACTAAATGTTCTTAACTCTGTCAGCCAATCAATGACGGCTTTTCAAGCTAAACCCGCCAATCATAGACGATAATTCGGCCGCTAATTGATGATCTAACCACAAATTCAAATGCATTGTGGCATAAGGGTGAATTGATAAAGCGCTTGGTTCTGCACAATTAACACAAAAATTAAGTACTAAAGTTCCATTATACAAGTTTTTTATATTAGTTTTCCAAGTGACTAAAAATCCGTATTGACTGCATTAGAAGAATAATGATTTGAAGGTCATAATAAAAAAATTACAAATAAAAGTAATGCAGATTTTTCAATCTACTGTTTGAACTTTTGATTAAAGGTTGCGCGATTTTCTGGAGTAAAATTACATTTTGAAACCTGTGGCTTCCAGTTCTTGGTTCTAAAACTGAACCAAAGCCAAGTTAAAAGAACTCACAATTTTTCCGCAAAAACGCTTCATTAAGTGGGTTGCATCAGCCGCAGCACATTTGAGCCAATTTGAAGTTTACTACACGTGTAAGTATTTAAACACGTATGAAAGTAATTTGAAGTTTAGTACACGTGTAAGTACAGCGGTAAACACCTGTGAAAATATTCTAACTTGTGGCCGCGGGGGCGAATGCGCCGCCAGTTCGAGTGCGACTCTCGCTTGAGCAACAACGTCCGATGGCAACGCCTGCCTTACTTCTTACGCTGCTGGTGGCAGTCTCGTCTGCCACTGCAACGGTACGAAATACAGACTGTTATATTAATAAATATATGTGCTGTTTTCTATGATTATTTTTGGGATATGTTCTGGGGTAATTTTATTTAACTATCGATGTGTCATTAGCATTTTCTTTATAACTTTGATTCACCTCTAAAATTTATTTTTATTAGGTTTTTACCTACGGATAAGAGCTGAGCAAAAATTTGTTGATTTTTTTCAATAATTATGTAACAACTAAATGTTAATGAATAATTCTTTTCAAATTATTCATTAATTTAATTCACGAATTTTGTGAATATTCAGTTCACGAATCTCGTGAATATTCACTTCACGAATTTCGTGAATGTTCAATTCACGAATTCAATTCGATTCACGTTCAATTCAATTCAATTCAATTCAGTTCACGAATTTCGTGATTATTCACTTCACGAATTTTGTGAGAATTCATTTCACGAATTTCGTGAATATTCACTTCACGAATTTTGTGAATATTCAGTTAACGAATTTCGCATCTAAATTTTTGGTATCGAATTTATTTTCATTCTGAGAAATTATCGTGCAGATAAATTCTGAATCAATCCACCTTCCTTCTCTATATGATTATCGATAGGTTAAACTATTTTAATAAAATTACCTCACTGCTCGCCATATGTTTATCCAATGATTGCATAGTTGTGAAAAATTCCTCTGATAAGAAATTTTTCTTGTGCCTGTCCCTCAGGAACTGACCTCTCCTCGCGCCAACGAAGTCATCGAAACGGTGAGTAAAATGTGAAAATTGTGATTCTGAAACATTAGATCGTGTTATTGATTATATAAAGGGTTGATTAGAGCGTTATCCGCAATAATTTTGCGAAATAATAACAACGAATGTAGGGATACCTATGTGAACCTTGTTCCAGCCATCTTTTTAATTATTCAGTCAAATGTTTCTACTGCAGACGTAATTTATTTATTAGGAGACACATTTACTTCTAAACATTTACTTTAGTTTTCATCTGCTCAGCCCATACAGTATGAACTTGAAGGCAACGTCATCAAACCTTTAACTCAAAAAGATGCCTCGCAATGTTACGTGCGTTACACATAACTCGAATTCATAACAATTAGCACTGAATATTTTAATCGCATACACTAATCGCTTTTTTCTATCAATTTGTAATCGGATTTTTCATTTGTCATCAGTATGGCTTGGAAACTTCTCTGAGAAGCAGCCTGTTCTCGACGTGCATCAAGCAAGCAGCTTCGCTGACGGGAAGTCTTTGGTTGGTAGTCGTAGGGCAACAAGGCTTCTATCAGGTCACAAGCTCAAGTGCTCAGAACATCACATGGCAGGTCGCTGACGCTGCCACGACTCTCTTCGCTTGTGCCCAGGCCACCGTGGACGCTGGTAATTCTTCTTATCCACTGTCAATGTGAAATTGTATGTCTGAGATACTTGATTTTATTATTTTAAATGAGAGAGAACCATATTATTGGCTTTGGTGGAAGCGATGCTAATCAGAATTTGAAGCGAGTAATATAAAAAATAGGTAAGTTTCTTTTTGTTTAATTTCAATCCAGGATTAAATCGAACAATAAGAAAATATAAATCCTGGCTGAATCTTTAGTTAATAACAACATTTGTTTAAAATGCATTGTAAATAATTGCTGAATAAATGTTAAATTATTCACTCTATTATATAGCTTCGTGCCATTTATTTTACGTAGCGTTAACCATGCTCTGTATAAACAGCCAAACTGATGTTCAAGTTCAATGGAGGGTCCTGCATGATCGCCATGAATGGTTTCTATACTCCGTTCACTCAAGCATGCGATGGTCAGACGGTCTATGTCGGCTCATATGGTGAGTAACAGTGCTGGGTTATATTCAAATAATCTCATATGTGTATGTTAAGATATAATTATAACATATTTAAACGCTTTTAATAGATTTTGATATATTTTGTATGCGAAACCGTTTGAACAACTTTCTTATAAATGTTCTAATCTAAACATTTGAAGGAATACTTCACCGGAACGACTGAATACCTGAATAGAATTTGTAGAATACCGGACGAAACAAATTCTGAAAAATCTAACGTGAACAACAAAGGAATACTCGATAAAGTCTTGAAGTGCCGAGAAATTTAGTTTAAACAAATCATCCTCATTCAAATCTTAAGCTAGGCTATTGATTTCAAAGTCTCGACATTCCTGATGAATTGTGCACGATCTCTTTTGATTTTATAATAGTATGCAGACGTAATTGTTTCACAATGTGCCTTTTTCTCTAAAATCTGAAATTTTTCTGATTTTTATTCTGAACGTGCTTAGGTGAATTTATTGTAGCTTTTAATACATTTATTCTCTACTTATTTGATATATTAAATCAGGGCTTGGGCGAAGTTTTTGTTAGAAAGTCCATATTGTTAAAAAGTTTTAAATATTATTAGGCGCCTGAATGGATTTTAATAATTTATTCACAATGAACACTGCATTTAAAACTGAATTATTGATAATAACACAAGTGAAAGAGATGTTTGATAGCCACAATTTTTTCATTTTCCAATATTATCCAAATCTTTGCATAAAATCAAATATATAGTATGAATTTTAGAACCCAAGAATCAAAATAGCTGTTAGACCCAACGTAGGATCACAACTCGTACGACCCCTGACTTGATGCATAAGAGCCATTGGCAGCAGTTTCCCTTTCGTTACCTTATGGAAATGTGCTTTAATATCGTGTTGTCTACAAACAAAAATAGAATTTTTAATGTAATATATGTATGGATCATTGTGTTGTCATGTCTCTCTGTTACGTGCGAGGTGATATTAGATAAACTAGATCACGACATGTATGTAATAAATAAGTCTGAGTTAAAGCAGGGTTAAGTTTGACGTTAGAAATCTTGTTCTACAAGCGTAAGCGGTTCCAATGGATATTTTGGTCCCTATTTTTGCAACCGATGAACCTTCAGAAAAGTCATCTATCAAAATATTGTCGGCTTAACTTGTGAGATTACCGTTTCGTTCTGCCTCTTTCTTCTCCTTCCCATTCTAACTAACTTTGCGCAATTAGCTTCATTGTTCCTCCTCGCCACCTCCACGAGGGCTTCGTCCCTTCTCTTTAGGTGTCCGTCGCCCCAATAATTTATATATAATTTCAATAATATATCAATAATTCACAGTAATTATTCCCCGTCAGGTGAGAGTGGATGCATCACTCTTTTTGGAGGGTTTTTAGATGGCCAAAACATAACGAACGATGGAATGTGCTACTCGACGTGTATTGGAGATAATAAGCTGAAGTTTCAAGGTGAATAAACGACCGGCAATACACAATAAAACATATTTATTGTTAAATTTTCATGACGAATTATATTCTTGCAGCTCGCTATAGCAGTTTACAATAAACAAAGAATTGGCAAGTAATAATAAATTCCTGATTCACTGAATAAAAGTTAGGGCCATGCAGTAGGACTGTGAATCTACTAACAGCATTACGAGTTCTTGAGGATTTTCCATCAACCCGCAATATTTGAATTAGAGTTTTACAGTGCGCCAAATTGAACATGAAGGTGCTTCTAACTTTTTTTAAGGGCTTTACAGAAGTGGGGTGCCGAATGGCCATTTATAATCCTACTATTCTGCAGGAATAAGGCCATTTTTTTTAATTATTTGAGATAATTAAGCAGAATCCATGTTCGTAAATTTTGAACAGATTTACAGTTTTGAAGCATTCGGTGTTCCTACACATTAACTGTTCAACTTACAAACTTCTTTTCCCATATTTTCTAGATGGTACTGAAGTAGCAATCCCTTCGGATGGAGCAGTACCTTGCATTGGAACAGTATTTGCCCCCCACATCCTCACATCGAACACTGCAAATAGCTTCTGTACGGCAGCGACCAAATGTGCGTTGAGTGGACTCGAGCTGGCCCAAGTAGACACGGAGGAGAACCTGAATGCCGTGAAGACAGCTGGCAATTTTGACTCGTCCTCTGGTGAGAAAACAACGGTATTTTGCTATCTTTTTCAGTTCTGAGGTGGACACCTCCTACTGCGTGGTCATCCAGCAGTCCGGAAGACTCTCGACAGCGCCGTGTACCGATAACTTTTCCTACATGTGCGTCGACACCACCAAGACCATCGAGCCGTGCCGCATGAGACTCGCTCAGTGATAAAAGAATGATGTGCTACGGCTGCGCTGCGAAGAAGACGCCGGATCGTGTTATAGATAAATGTCGCTAAACAAGTAAATTAAAAAGCTTTGAAATATGTTCTTCATTGGTAGTTTCAGGGGCTTGCAATAGTAAAAACAGTGCCAAAATTTAAAGGATTTGATGGTGAGGTTATTTTCAGGAAAAACATAATTTTTATTCAAATTAATCGAGCATGGTTGAAAGATTTTGTAAGCTTTTGGGAAAGATCCTCATCCTTGATAAAAATGGACGCAATAATATTTGGAGTGCATTTACACTGCATTGTCATTTTTCGAGAATATTTGATCAGTCATAAATTTCACTTGATGTTCATTTGGAATCAAAATAAATGTTTGGCGTTATATGGTGTATCATTTTCTCATTTATTTTCTTGAATTTGAAATGTATTTAACTTAAATACTATAATGATCTGTTATCTCGAGGCGCTTGGCACTCTGCTCGTATTCTTTTTCTTCAATTGACCGCCATAATAATTTGGTAGACCATATTGCGCAAGAATCTAATATGAGGCGTAAAAAGAAGCACTATCATATCATGAGATATTTTAATATACTACATGGAAAGTTTAGGTGTATTGATCTCAGGGATGCCAGCTTGACCAGTCGCCTTGAAATTATCACTTCAAACGCTATTTTTATGGAATTGAGCAGCGCGTTAAAAACTCGGGTCTGGTGCCTTGTTGGCTTTAGATTATAAATAACACAGGTTTTCTTGTTTAGGAGGAAAGCAACCAATTTTTTTACGTCAATCCAGATTTTGTTCTATAAAACAATTCTTAAACGTACAAAAACTGGCGGATCAACTAAAAAGGATTGAACGATTGCCATGTTGTAATTGGTTCATTCGTGGACACATCAACTGGAAAGATTGCAGGGATTCCGTTCGTTCACTTAACGCCAGTTCGTTGTACAAGAATCAAATAATCAATTCTCGTATTCAATTCAAATCTCCTAAGCACCATCAAGTTATCCTGTACGAAAAACTAATTCCGCGTCCAACTCAGTCCATCATTATCCATTTTCCTTCTCAAGCTCCGTCTGCGCATTGACTAGGGTAACATGGGGCAGCGAGCCCCCTGCGGGTCAAGGGCCCATAGCGGGTTTCTCGCTAAGTATGGCAGATATTGGTCCGTGTTCTCTACCGCCTGTCGACAGTTTCAGTGGGATGAAGTGTACGGATTTACGTTTTGCTAAGGGTTTGCGTTATTAAGTTATTTGTGAATAAATGTTTTAGCCCAAATAAATTTTTTTTGCTGCTAAATAAAAAATTTTTCGATTACTGTAGATGAAGCTTCTGAAATTACTGTGAATTATATTTTAAAAGCAATATTTATAGAGATAATTTTGAGATCAAGTTTAGACTATTAGCTTTTAAAATAAAATGTTGACACGATATAAATTGAAATGATACCTAGCGGGGCAACGGGCCCACGATTGTCACAGGGCAAAGCGCCCATGGTGAAGTCTTGTGTTATACATCATTAGATTTGTCTCAATGACCTTTTCAAAACTATGACTAGCTTTTTGAAT